TCTTCTCTTCTCTTCTTTCCACGATTTAAAGCACTTCAAAGGTTCGGGCCACCTCCGTGCCACACCCCACGATGCTTCTGGGTATTTTTTAAAGGAAAGCAGGCATTCTGCTGGACTTTTAAAATCACCACTCTGGAGAAGGTGCGAATGCAGCGAGATAACGAGATGGGCGCTGCTGAATCACCGGGGGCAGTTGATCTGTCCCTGGCAAAACCAGGATTGTCTCATCCCTCCTTGATGGATGGATGGTTCGGCAGCGCTTAGCAAATGGCAGCTGATCAAYCAGAGTTAACCAGCTCCGAAAATTCGGGCTAAATCGCTAAATTCGGCCGATTTCCAGGCAATCCAATGTTTCGGATGGGTTTTGTGAGCGTGGCAACAACTCCGTGCTGGAAATGTGGAAATACCAGCCAGGTTCTTGCCAGGATTTCTGTTCCCGTCGCTTCGGAGGCAMAAAGGGCAGGGATGGATGGATGGATGGCCCGATGGATGGATCGGGCACTTGCTCTTTTCTACAGAAAGAAAACTTTTGCCGAGGACGCGTTCTCAGACAAAAAGATTGGAATCCGAGACGCCAGCWGAGGTTGTGAATAGCTCGTGGGAAGGTCAGGTGGAAAACACTTCACGCTCTGAAAGTTTCTGCCTTTCAGAGGGAAAATTTCTGCCTTTTAGAGTGGAAATTTGTGCCTTTCAGCRGGAAAGGTGCTGCTCCCTCACCTCAGTGCTCTCCGGCGTGACTGAAATTCCGGACAAAAGGCTGATTCTCTGCCCTCCTCTCCTTCATTATTCACCTTTCTTGCCCAATATTCTCACCCCGAGCTTTTGGTGCGGGAGTTTGGTAACAGAACATCCCTTTCCAGTAATTGGTTGTGCAATTAAGCCCGCCATGTGATCGATACAAAGGAGCCCAGCAAACAAACACCACCTCACAGTTCTGTTTGCTTTATTTGATCCTTCATCTTTCCACCTCCTGCTGTTTGAGAGGACTTTGTTGTCCCTCCAGTCTGGCAGGAGAAAAAGCTGTTACTCAAGAATTCTCTGTGCTGCGTTTCACAAGGAGCTGCTCATTTCTTGTGTTTCCCGGTCAGGATTCCATCAGTGGTTCCTCTTTTTAAAGCAGTTCATTCGTGTTCTGAGGCCGCAGGGAGGGGAGGATCATCCTCATCTTCTCAAATGCTATTTTTGATTGGAGAACTCAGAGAGTAGAGAGGGTTTCACTCCTTAATTTGCAAAGGTTCAACAGAGGAAACACTGAATTTTGGGATTTTCTTTGCTGTTGTGGTACAGGAGAGTAGGACAACACTCTCCTAAGGAGATCTAAGATCTGACATTTGATAAAAATCAACAGTCTGGCAAACAAACTGGAAAAAAAGGCGATTTTGGTGAACAACCGTTTTTTCAGTTTTACTCGAGGAAAAACCCAGGACAGGGACTCACAGATCTGTGTGAAAAGACTCACCTGGATAAAAGGGTAAAACCAGATGGGAATTCTCCAGGTATGAGTAAAGGCATCTCCATTCATGAGGCAGCTTCACAAAGCATCGTTTAAAATGTTCCCTCTCAAACTGGWTTCAGATTGGCACCAAATTCTGGGCTCATCAGCATCAGGGCACTGGTTTGGGGTGGCAGAACCAGCATCACCTGGCCCTGCTCACTCCTGGCTTCACAGAACCGATTTTTGGTGGCCAAGYGGCCCCTTCTGCTCTCCAGGAAATGCTGATCCCCAGCAGCCCCGGGAAAAAAGTGCAATTTTCTACCTGGCTCTGTCCCCCCCCGAGATAAATTGAGACAACTCTGAACCCTGGAGATGATATTCACTTAATAAAAGCYGAGGCCATAAAACACAGGCCACTTTCCACCAGAAATCTCAGCGGGGACATTCAAATATTTCTATTTCCACTCACAAGCCTCCCCCAGCTGTTTGACTATTCATGAAAATCCTTTTTGTTTTCCACGACCGAGTGAGGACTCTTTCCAGGAGCGGCCTGTGGTGAGATTTCCAGTGCACTCTCGCTTTGGAGAGACTCAGAATATTAATCTTTTCATGGCATTTTGTCACCACAACCAGTTATTCCACAAAGAAATGAGGCAATCTGTGCCTCATGCAAAAAAAAACTCAAGTAAGCATCCACCAACTTCTGCGAGTTTCTGCTATTCAGGCCTCAGAAAGGTTTGATTTGGACTTTTTTCTTTTTTTTTTTTTCAGTGGGAATAAGTAATTAGTGCTTTGCTTTATCCCCACCAGTCTGTTCGGTGATTGGCGAGGCAGTTTTGGATGGAGGTGCGGTTGCCCCGGCAACAATCGGGAGTGAAATCAGAACCTTTTGAGCAGCCAGCGGAATGCGGTTCCACTTGGATGACAATGGGTCAGAGCGGTTTTAATGGGCAGAATGTAATCCAGCACAATGGGATTTATTGCCGCTCTGACATCAGACTGACACCATCGCTGCAAATTCTTCAGATGGTGACAGAGCTCGGCTCAAATCTGCTCCGTGGAATAAAAAATAAAAAACTTGGGAGATGCCATTTATCTGGTTTTTTTTTTTCCAAATCAGCCATGGCCTGTGTGTCCCAGGGGGTTTGGGSGAAAATCTGCAAACCCAGTGAAACCCAAACTCCTCGCACAAAGGGCTGTTCTGGACACGAGGGAAGGTTCTGAGAACCAAAGGCTCCTTCCTGCAGGGTGCTGAGCTCCAAATCCACCGGAGAACATCCACACTTGCTGGGTTTTATGGCACCAAAAGAATTTCCAGTGATTTCCAGGGCGGTAATTCAGGCTTTTAAACCTGATTGCRTTTGCTGACAGACAAGACCCTGCAGGAGCAAGTCCTAAAGCAGCAGTGGAAGAAAAGATTCCCTGTTCAGTGTGGAGGGGGAGTATTTCATCCCTYCTGCTGACATTTTTCCAACTCCTGCAAGAAGGATCCTTTTGTTCTGGACTCAAATTATTCTGGATCCTTCCAATTCTGAGTTCTGTCTGAATTAATTCAATGCCCAGGGATCAGGACAGGGGAATGTGCTGCCTGTAGCTTTAAGGAAATGCAGGTTAAGGTGCCAAAATCTGTTTCTCTGCCCTGAATTGAAAGCACAGAAAGCTTGGCATCTTTTGGAACATCCCCAGGGACCTCTGTCACACACAGAAACCCAGAGCCACCCACTTTGGTGACATCAGAAACGGCCCTTAGCACTGATTATGAGTAGATGGCCCYCGAACCTTTCACCAATTTTCCTTTTGAATCAATGGAGATCGTTCCCATTCATTTTTTTGATACGAAAAGCAGATTTCTTCTCTCCATCACGTGGCTGGTGCCCTGCACATCCTCCCATTGTTTCACGGGAGGTTTTTACAACAACAAAGCTCCAGGCTGGTGAGTTGTTCCTCTCCTTGGAGAACAATTGAGCCAGGCAAGGACACAACCTGTTTCTTGTCTTCCTCAATGGGAAACGCGCTGGGAGTTTTGCGATGCCATCCGTAAACAGTGACCTCAGAGCCGGCTTTTACACGGCACAACAAAGAGATCCGATTGGAAAAACAGCCCACGAGCAAAACCGAGGGCATCAAATAAATCACAATYACCCACAGATCGCAAATCCCTGCGGGATTCCCGTGGGGTGGARGCTCATCCTCGCCGTTTTGGGGCGATTGTTGCTCTCAGATCGCTTTCCCCGGTTTTACCGCACTCCTGGAGTTCTGCCAGCGCCTCTGAGGTCGCTGAGTTCTCCTTAATCTGCACTTTCCCTCCCCTGAAGTGGCTCCCGRATTGTGACACCCGAGTGATGCTGTTTGGGGTTGGTTTTGGCTGTTTGGGGTTGTTTTTTTTTTTCTGTGGGAAACGCCGCTCGGTGTTTTTCACAGAGYTGGTTTGCCGAAGATCCACTGGTCCCGAGGTGAGAGGAGCTTAGCAGCAAACGGAATGTTCTGGGCAGGAATGCCACGGGCCCGAGCTCGTGATCAGAGCTGGAGTTGGGGTTTCGTTAATCACCTCGGGATTTGTGACTTTGGAAGGACTTTGGCTCTGAGCAGGAGCAAGTGATGCTGTAATTCCATTTTATTCGGTGAAAACAGGAGGAAAAACGACTCAGGAAAAATAGAGGATACAATATAGGATAAATCTCCTCCTGAAGCTGCGTATATCATTTCTGAATTTAATTGAATTTTGATGGCCGATCATTTATCCAGCTCCCAACCGATTTGGAGTGGATCAGGGGATGGTGGCAGTAAATTTCAAACCAGAGGGTGAAATTCTCTTTGGCCTGGCTCTTGTCTCTGGTGACAGCACCCCTGTACAGTTAAAATGCAATAAATAAGACAGACATTTGTTTCTGCAGCACCTGCGAGGCCAAACAGAAAAGTTGTGTCTCAAAACAATCTTTGGGAAGTGCTTTGGCAATAAAACCAGCCCTAGCGCAGTTTAGATATCTTTTTGTTGTTGCYGAGTGTTGACATTTGCGATGCAGCAGGTTTTTATTTGATGGGTTTTTGTTAACACGGGCTCTGATAAGATCTGCTCGCTCCTTCACACTGTTTGCCGGGAGAAGTCAAACAGGAAAAACACGGCTGGCAAAGGGCTTGGAACGGGCTGAATTCCCACTGAGCGGCTCCTTCACTCAGCAGCGCCGGGGAAAACCTTCCACACAAAGGGCAACCACAGAGCCGCAGATTCCGGGCCTCGAGGGAGACAAATCAGCCTCTGTGCGAGCCACAGGGAGGCAAAAATCCTATTTGAAACAATCCCTTCATTTCGTTTTTGTCATTAAAGGCGACTTCTAAATAGATGCTTCTTTTTGTTCTCATCTAAGGATGTTTTTAAAATGGGGRAGAAGAGAGGTTTAGCATTATATTCTGCCTATCTTAATGTCGTTTAAAATACCGATTTCTGTGCCCAGAATTTCTCTCAGGTGAGCAGGAATAAGTTGTAGGACAGGCTCAGGAGACCAGAAATGAAGATATGCAACCCAAACACTGAGATTGACATAAAATTCTGAGATTAAAATAAAAATCTGAGATACAGGGCCCACACACACACAGCTACCCACGATTTTCCACTTCCACGTTATTTCAATTCTCTGCCTTTCAAAACACCGAGATCCTGTAAATTAGAGCGTGGAGCTTGGGAAGGGAACAGCAGCAGAGTCCAAGAAGGGCCAGCACCACACTGAGAGGCAGTTCTGAGGAAAAATAACTCCTGGGTTTTGGAATAACCTCCCTTTCCAGGCCAGAGGCAGCCCTGCTAGGACAGGGATGGATGGAGGGATGGACGGATGGACAGATGGACAGACCAAGGTCCAGCCATCTGCTCCACAAGCTGTTGAAAGTCAACTCCTAAAAAATCACCCCAACCCCAAATTTCCTACAGAGCTCCGTGGAGTTAAGTAACAATATGGAAACTCAAAATTCTGCCAGAGTCTGTGAACCAAAAAAAAAAAAAAAAAAAAAAAAAAAAAAAGAGAGAGTGAAGGTCGAACAAAGCCCTGGTTTCTTAGAAAGTGCTGCTGGAATTCCAGCAGGCTGAGCCAAGCCCGAGGTGGATACTGCCTGTGGTGATACTGGGAAACCCAAGTGGCAGCTGGGATCCRGAGCAGGAGATCAAACACAGCCCCMGTGCTGCCTTCAGCGGGGTTTGGATCAGTCCTGGCAGCTCCATGAGCTTTTAATGCATTTCACAGGCTCCCTGCACAAAGTGGTGACATCCCCAGCCCTGCAAAYGCAGGGTTTGGATGGAGGGCTGGAAATTCGGGATGAGCTGCAGGAYTCGGGATTTCAGCTGGGCAGATCCAGAGCAGAAGAGAGAGAAAATCAGATTGAGGTGGAAAATCATATCAGAGGTGGATTTGTGCCTGATCTGTGCTGGTGAATGAAAGGATGGTGGCACAGAGCGGCTSAGGAAAGCAAACAGCAGCTCCTGACCCCGGTGCTGATGGATAAATTGACTTCCTGAAATGCAGTGTTTGCCTGCCTGCCTTATCTGAGCAGCACTCACTGAGGCTTCTGGTGCTCTTCCCAAAGAACAAAAAGCACTGACACAYTGTCTGATTTGACACTCAACCTCTCTTTACTTTAGGAGTGAGTTTAGAAGTCTGAATCAGCAGTTTTTTTGGTGGTATTTCCTAAAAAAAATTAGATCATAGTGGACGTTATTAACTTGATTATTTTTATTGTTATTTTTTTCCCTTCTCCTTCCTATTTCCTCAAAGAAGTAATGCAAAATGCTATTTTCATTCTTAGACTTGATGCTGGCTTTGAAAATGTAAAGGCTTTGGTGATTTGATTGGCTTTTGGGATATTTTATCAGGTGGGATGAGGCCGTTTCTGAGTGTTATCGGGGAATTTCTGCTGAGGTCAGTGGCCTAAAGCTGGGATCAGAGGTGACTTGGAAGTGTTCCTGCCTCCCCTGCCTGTTGGTAAGTGATGTCAAACTGCTTCTCAGGGAAATTTCTATGAGGAATGAGGAGGAAAAAGTCATAAATCAGGGTTCCTCAGGCTTCCTGCTCACCTTTCCCCTCCTGATCTCACTCATGTTCAACTTGGGAGTCAGATTTGTTCTGTTCCTGTATTGGGATATTGCAATATTGGAGTATTGGGATATTGGAATATTGGAATATTGGGATATTGGGGTATTGGGATATAGGAGTATTGGGATATTGGAATATTGGGATATTGGGATATTGGGATATTGGAATATTGGGATATTGGGATATTGGGATATTGGGGTATTGGGATATTGGGATATTGGGATATTGGGATATTGGTGTATTGGGTTGTTTGAATATTGGGTTGTTTGAATATTGGGATATTGGAGTATTGGGATATTGGCATATTGGAATATTGGGGTATTGGGATATTGGCATATTGGAATATTGGGGTATTAGGATATTGGAATATTGGAGTATTGGGATCTTGGAATATTGGAGTATTGGGATATTGGAATATTGGGATACTGGGATATTGGGATATTGGGATATTGGAATATTGGGATATTGGAGTATTGGGATATTGGAATTTTCAGATATTGGGATACTGGAATATTCTCAGATCAATCCCCCAGCTGTGAATCCAAGCCGTGCAGCCCCCGTGCCCTTCCCTGGCTCCTGCTGTGCAGCAAACAGGAAGGCGAGGAGCACGCTGCCTCCTCCGGAAGCGGAGCTGCGAGCGGTGACGTAAAGGAAGCCGTCCCCGAGGCTGGAAGAGCCCTTCTGGAATATCAGAAGGAATATCTCTSCTGCCTGCCCCCAGATTCCCCCATTTTTAATGGCCTCTTGTGCTTTGGGAAGGGACAGAACAGCAATAACGGGGYCGAGGGTGTTGGCTCCGTCTAATGAGCGCTCAGCACTCTCTGATCTCATTCTGTCATTGTTCCCGCCACTCTCCTGCTGCTGGGTACATTCRTTAATTAATTCATTAATTACATCAYTCCTATTCAGAGCTGCAACAAATTGTTCTCCTGCTCCTGGGCCAACAAGGGTCAGGGGGAAAAGTTCCTAGAGGAATTTTGCCAGGCTGGGAGAAATYCAGGAGGAGAAACGTGGGGTGGAATCTGCAGAAGGATGGGAATGAAGCTTCACTGGGAGTCAGGGCAGACASCAGCATGTCAGGGGAAGAAAAAATGGGATATGAAATATATTTTTTCAGCTGTTCCATCTCTGCATGGCTGCTCCATCCCTGGAAGTGTCCAAGGCTGYGTTGGACGGGGCTTGGATCAACCTGGTATAAGGACAGATCACAAAAATTGGCTGTGAGCATCAGGAGAAGTCCCTTTGCCAAAAAAAAAAGTGAAAGGAAGGAAGGAAGAAAAGAAAGAAGAGTCCTAATGCTGTCCTGCAWTAGATTTATTTAAGTTTTGTGGGTGGTGGATTTGTTATTTTTTTTTTTTTTAAGGAACAAAAGTTGGAGCCAATTCCAAAGCAGCTCCGAAGGTTCTGACTTGTCACATTTCTGATCTGTGAGCTGAAACCCTTCCAGGGTTACACAACAATGACTAAAACTGGAAACCTTTCAGATCATTCCCAAAATGAAGCAGGAAACTGAGGTGATTGCTAAAGCAGCACTGGAGAGAGAGAGAGAGACACCAGTGCGGGGGTGAGAGCGAGCACCCAGCTTAATTCGGAGTTCGGGGTTGTTTTCTTTATGATTTAATCTCAGAACAGAATCATCCCGGAGCCCAGATCTTCACATTGTTTTGCTGAATGTTTTACAAACGGGCTGTTGACTGAAGTTGTCACCGAACAAAAATTCACCCCCATTGTTTACACAATGGGAAAACAGAGTCATAAAAGGGGCGTAGCAGCAATTTGTTAGGTACTAGGTTACGGTGCAAGAGGGATTATCCTCACAAAACACTGAGCCCCGAGCTCCAAATATCAGGATTAAATTGAYAATTACATCCAGGGAAAGTCTTTGAAAGGCTCAGCTTAAGGCTTTTAAGTGGCTGTTCCGAGCGAGCTGACAATCGGGAGTTCAAGTTGTTCTGGTACAGCTGCTCCGCTCGAGAGGAACGGCATGAAAATATAAATACGATAAGAAAAAATCTGCTCCTGCTGGTGTTTGCTTTGTGGCAGCTCTTCCCTGGGTTGGAGTAGGTGTTGGGTTTGTTTCCGTTTCTGCCACTGAGCAGAAATAACTTTGAAATACAGGAATTTCCTCCCCTGTTTGTTTGGGGTGAAGTTTTTCAAGAACATCAGTTTGGGGGTTCAGTGTGAATACGGGTCTCTGGAGCAGTTCTGTCTCTGAACACTGAAGGATCCAACACTGTAAAATCCTGGCCTTGGCTGAGAAAATTCAGAATTATTCTGGTTTCTGAGCTCTGAGTCTGATAAATTTATTCTTTAGACCAACTCCTGAATTCTCTCTGCCATTTACCCTAACTAAATCATTGAGATTTCTCTGTTTCTGCCTTCTTGCCACCTTTCACTGCTCCATTGTTTTATCTCTGATAAAATTTCATTGGAGGGGGGAAACACATTGATTTCTAAGAGCTGCGAATTTCAGCAGCGGAGCAGAGCAAGGGGAGGCTCACGATGTGCACAAACATGCCCAGAAATAAAGGAAAAAACCCACAGAAAGTAAAAGCAAGGCAGCAAAGGGGGAGGGTTGGTGTGTCAGTGTTAGAGGAAGGTGAAAACGCTTCCTGGCAACATCTGAGAGTCATTTGCAACAGCAGATCCTTGAGCTTTAGTGAGTAGAGAATGTTTTTTAAATCCTCCCCCACCCCCTTTGTTAATCTTTACCAGGTAACAGGACCTCTCATGGAATTGTGTGGTTTTTTAGGGATGTGTCCAGTATTTCCAGCTTGGAAAATCAGATTTTTGAAACGACTCTGAGGTCCCAAGTCCATCAGTCTGGTTGGGAGCCTGTGGTCTTTGGTATTAATTTGGTAATAATCAGAGGGTGCAGAGTGTTCTGCAGAAGTCAGAGTGTTCTGAGGGAGGAACATCTGGGTTCCCAAGCTCCCTGTCCTCCCCTGGAGCAGGRAAATCACGTGTGTGTTCAGTGCTGTCCCCAGGAATGGGGGACTGATCCTAATTCTGATTTACAAAATCCAGAAGCACTGAAGGGCGGGGGTTTGGACCTGAATGTTCTGAGAAACATCAGTGTCAAAAAGTTATAAATAGTGATGTATAAATTATTATTATTGTTATTATTATTTTTATTGTTTTTATTATTATTATTATTTTCATTGTTTTATTATTTTCATTATTTTCATTATTTTCTTTTTATTATTGTTATTGCACTCGAGAGATTTGAGGAGGTAGCCTTGAGCAGTTCAGGTTTGTCTTCTCCTTAAGCACACCCAAAATACCGAGCAACACTTTTTGATGCTTTGGAGTGGCTCAGGAGGTTATTCCAGGGATTTKGGGGCAGTTTTTACTGTGCAGTTTGGGATTTTAGGTCATCTGGGGCACTCCCCACAGTGCAATCCCAAATCCCACTGATAAATTCAATTTT